GAACAAGGCTGAGGGCAAGAGGAGGACACCTAACATCCCCGTAACCTATCTTCCCAGCCTCACCCCGAACAGAAGAAATACTAACGTCAAGGCTGGGAACACGGTTCAGCGGCATCTCTAACTTCATAGAGAAAATGGGGCTGCAGGAATAGTTGAGGGTAAAGCTGAGAGTAAAGCACTAGGTTCTGGGGTCAGGTCCAGCACGGCAAGACAAAGGTAACAACGGTGGTATGAGCTCACATAAGGGGATTTAGAAATGAAAAAAAGAAAAAAAAAAGAATCCACATGTATTCCCACTATGCAGACATTTATTTATCAATCTCTTACTATGTGTAAACAGTGTTCTGGTGTTTTCTTTTAAAGTTTTGTCTTTTTAAAAAATTATTATTATTATTTAAAATAGCCCCGACTGTCCTCAAACTGGCAACAAAGAGCTGAGATTATGGGCGAGCACCATCACGCCAGACTACATTTAGTTTTGCAATTATCTCATTTCCTAAAAAACTCATTTTGCAAATTTCCCCGTGTGTGTGTGTGTGTGTGTGTGTCCGCTAACTCCAAGCCGGACACGCCACCAGTTCGATTTTCCGCTGCTCTAGCGGTCGACGTGGCGCTGGACACTAAAAGGTGGTCGGGCGGGGGTAGTGATCTGTGAGACTCAGTCTGGAGATCTGGCCAGCGAGAAAAGCCTGACATTCCCACTGTCACGGGGAGGGGACGCGTTTGCTGAGGACCCCGGCAACCTGGCCTCTGTCGTTCACTGGTCCTCAGGCCCAGCTCGCCAGGCGGAGGACAGCTGTGCAGCCACGCTGGACACCCGCCCCGCCCGCGCTAGGCCCGCCCCTGGGCCCGCAGGACCAATAGGCTCCGGGAATAGCCTCGCGTCACGCGGCGCGGACCTATCGCAGACGGCCACGACCCTAGAAAGGCTGGGCGCGGCGAGCGGCCACGGGGCGGTGGCGGTGCTGGCGTAGACGCTTCTTGGCCATGGTGGTGGTTGCAGCGGCGCCGAACGCGGCCGCGGCAGCCCCGAAAGTACTGCTCCTATCGGGCCAGCCCGCCGCGGGCGGCCGGGCGCTGCCACTCATGGTGTCGGACTCGCGGGCAGCAGGGTCCGAGGAGAGCGGGGCGCCGCAGGCTCGCAAGCGGCAGCGCCTCACGCATCTGAGCCCCGAGGAGAAGGCGCTGCGGAGGTGGGCCCGGCGGGCGGGCGGGCGGCGCCGGGGCGCGGGGTGGCACGGCCGGGAGTGGGACCCTCTCGCGTATGCCCGTCGGGAGGGCTCTGGAGGGTGGCGTAGATTCGTCTCCAGTACCTATTCCTGGAGGGAGGCGCGGAGCCGAGGTGGCAGCCCCTCGAAGGTCTGGAGCTCAGTCTGTGTCGGGGGAGGCTGACACTGGTCAGAACGTGCCTGATGCACAGTCCTCTGCGAATGCTTGCTCTCGGTGGCCGCGGGGCAGGGTCCACTCTGGCTGTCACTGCAGCGCTTGGGAACTCAACACTGGGACCCGAGTCACCAGCCTCCGGCAGCCCGTTGAGCTTGGGGGAGGGACGGTCGGTAGCGCCCCAGCCGCCTTCACGGATGTCGCCCCAGCACGGAGCCTGTTGGACGGAATTGGAACCAGAAAGCCGCGGGGGAGGAGGGAAAATGCTTATGACGCAACGGGAATGTGTCAGCCCTGTGGTAAAATGAGACCCACACGGGAGAGACTCAAGCAAGCCTTCAAGGCCCACGGACAGAAAGCTGTGGTTTTGTCCTTTTGAGGAGTCTCAATGTGTTTACCACTGTTTAGCCTTATTCTGTTAAGTCAACGAAAGCACCAGCTGGCCACATTTACAAATGAAGATACCAGAAAGCTGGCGATGACTCAGTTCGTTATTCCTTGTCTTCCTTCAGGAAACTGAAAAACAGAGTAGCAGCGCAGACAGCCCGAGATCGAAAGAAAGCCCGGATGAGCGAGCTGGAGCAGCAAGTGGTGGATTTGGAAGAAGAGGTAAAGCGACTTTAGGCCACGCTCGCTGTCTTCCCTTCCACATCAGGCCCTAGGGTTCCCTGCCCATCCTAAGCTGCTTGCAACCCTTTAGAATACAATTCAAAGTGCGATTTAAAGTTTAACTAGCCTTGCAGATAGGTGGTGAAGGCAGACACTCCTGGCAGCTGATACTAGCGATAGACTGCTCAGAGATTAGCCTGGTCAGATAGATCATGCTTTAACCTTTAGCACTCCTGGCTCTGCCAAAGGCCCACTAGAGCTGCCCTTCCTTCTAGGGTTCTCTTGTTATCTAATCTCAGCAAGGGCTATTGTTCTTTTGAAAGTTTTAATCACCAGCTGGTTCTTAAAAAATGTGGGTCATATCATTAGGGTTTTTTTTTTTTTTTTTTTTTTTAGAACTATCTTGTTAGGTCTAGCCCACCACCCCCACTTTATTTTATATCCAGCAGAGTAATAGGTATCATTAGGACATTTTCAGACAGCTTGCTTTAGTTGATTGTTCTTCCCTGCCCTTTTCCCCATGTGTCCTAGGCTGGGTTCTAGCTTGCTGTAAAGCCAAGGATGTCTCTGAGTTTCTATTCCTCCAGCTGACATCTCCCAAGTGCTGGGATTACAGGCGTGAAGCATCCATGCTAGTTTTATGTAGAAATGGAGGTTGAACCCAGAGCTTCATATGTGGCACAGCAAGCCCTACCAACTGATCTGTACTACTAGCCACCGGTATACAGTAATTATGAACTGCATAAACATAGCATTTATCAGTTTCCTGAGGGTACCGATTGTAGCAAATCGCACTTTAGTTGCCTCTTCTGGATTTTCTTACAGAACCAAAAACTTCTATTAGAAAATCAGCTTTTACGAGAGAAAACTCATGGCCTTGTGATTGAAAACCAGGAGTTAAGAACTCGCTTGGGAATGGAAGCACTGGCTTCTGAAGAGGCTCCAGAGACAGAGTCCAAGGTAAATCTCTGAGAACTGTTGTGATTTGAGCAGATGGTGTTTGTGTTCTGAACTTTCTGATCAAGTCTTTCTCTTCTCTTTTCCTTCCTTTTTGAGAGTTCTGCTTGTATAGCCACCTGCATACCAGACAGGGCACCAGACCTCATTGCAGATGGTTGTGAGCCACTATGTGGTTGCTGGGAATTGAACTCAGGACCTCTGGAAGAACAGTCTTAACCTCTGAGCCATCTCTCCAGCCCTGTCTTGTTTTTTGAGAGTCTTTGTATGTAACCCAGGTTGGCCTTGGACTCATCCTCTTGCCTTAGTCTCCTTAGTGCTGGGGTTATAGGCATGAGCCACTATAAGTGACCTGTTTCCTGGACTTCTCTTCTTTTCCTTTTTTTTTCTCTTTTTTTTTTTTTTTTTGAGATAGGGTTTCATGCAGCCCAGGTTGGCCCCAAATTTGGTATGTAGCTGATAATCCTCTTGTCTCCACTCTCCAAAGGTTAAAATTACAGGCATATGCTACTTTATTTGGTGTAGTTTATATAGGAATGGTGTTTGTGCACACCCGTGCAAATGTACCGAACTGAAAGGATGCTGGACATCTTTGCCCTGTTACTCTCCACCTTATTCCTTTGAAACAGATTGAATGTGGAGCTAGGCTGGTAGCCCGCAGACCTTGGTGGTCCTCTTGTATAGGGGTTATAGGCACAGTTGTCATGCTCCACTTACACTGGTGCTGAACTCTGTCCACAGCAGACAAGCTTATGCTCTGAGCACCTCCCAGATCCTTTCTAGAAAGTGTTTTGAAAAGCAGGACTCATAGTTGCCTGGTGTGCATTTCCTCACTTTGGTCTTTCCTTCCAGGGAAATGGAGTAAGGCCGGTGGCCGGGTCTGCTGAGTCCGCAGCACTCAGACTACGTGCACCTCTGCAGCAGGTGCAGGCCCAGTTGTCACCTCCCCAGAACATCTTCCCATGGATTCTGACACTGCTGACTCTTCAGACTCAGAGGTAGAGCTCATTCTGCCTTACTACAGTGCTATATGAGATTGGCTCATTCTGTAGTATCCATATGATGTGTGGCTTGCCTCGCCAGGCAAATGGAGAAAGAGACGTTAGTGTTGGTAGAGTTAGGGGGTGAGCACCAGTCACTTTCCTATCTCCAATAGTTTAGGTCATGAAGTGGGGAGAAGCTGTCCTGGTGGTGGTGGTAGGGTCCTGTGATCTGAGAGCATAGGCCTAGTTGACATTGTGGAACTCGGCACTAAGTGGTCCTGGTAGACTGTCACAGTCATTCTAATAGTGAACTCTTGCTTTACCTCTTGCAGTCTGATATCCTTCTGGGCATTCTGGACAAGCTGGACCCTGTCATGTTTTTCAAGTGTCCATCCCCGGAGTCTGCCAATCTGGAGGAACTCCCAGAGGTCTACCCAGAAGGACCTAGTTCCTTACCAGCCTCCCTTTCTCTGTCAGTGGGGACCTCATCAGCCAAGCTGGAAGCCATTAATGAACTCATTCGTTTTGACCACGTGTACACCAAGCCTCTAGTCTTAGAGATCCCCTCTGAGACAGAGAGCCAAGCTAATGTGGTAGTGAAAATAGAGGAAGCACCTCCCAGCTCTTCAGAGGAGGATCACCCTGAATTCATTGTCTCAGTGAAGAAAGAACCTTTGGAAGAAGACTTCATTCCAGAGCTGGGCATCTCAGACCTGCTTTCATCCAGTCACTCTCTGAAACCATCTTCCTGCCTGCTGGATGCTTACAGTGACTGTGGCTATGAGGGCTCCCCTTCTCCCTTCAGCGACATGTCTTCTCCTCTTGGTACAGACCATTCTTGGGAGGACACTTTCGCCAACGAACTCTTTCCCCAGCTAATTAGTGTCTGAAGAGCCACCCAGCACTGCCCCTTCCTTTCCTCATTACACTGCCTAGGGGATAGCCGAGAAAAAATTCCTCTAAAGTATTCTTTTAAAACTTCACAGACGACATCCAAGTATTGTTTTTAAACATCCAGCTGTCTAAGGTATTCCAAAATATTGTAATTCAGAACTACAGCTTTTGAGATTGTTGTTTTATCTTAAAGGTGGTGGTTTTGCCTCACAGTAAAAGGAGGGTCATCTGACAATTATTTCCCAGGCTGGCTTCAAACTATGTAGCTGAGGTTAGGCTGGAATTCTTGATCCTCCTGCCCCCACCTCCCAAGTGCTGGGCTTACACAGGTGTACACCTCCACACCTGTTTTGTGACATGTCCTTTGACCATTTCTCTTCCCCACTCTCGGCTTCCCAGGTTTCTTTAGTGTACTTCTACAAGCAGACAAACACCAACCTGTGAGGCTTGTTTTTCTTTATGTACAGTTCAAGTAAAGATCAAGAATCTTTGTAACATTATAGAAATTTACTATGTAAATGCTTGATGGAATCTTCCTGCTAGTGTAGCTTCTGGAAGGTGCTTTCTCCATTTATTTAAAACTACCCATGCAATTAAAAAAGCAACGCAGCATCCTTGTTCTGTGATTTCTAGGGCTACCATATTTTCTCTTTATTGTTTGCTAGGGGAGAGTCTGAAGTGAGCACAGCACTTTTTAAAGTCACTGAAAGCATTTCCACTTTGATTACCACTGCTTCAACTCCCGACTGTCATAACTATCTCTTATTTTGAGACAGTTTCTTCAGACCGTTGATCACTATCACAGCTACTAAGTGGCAGAGACAGAACCCTAGCCACTGTTTCTCTAGTCCTCACCCTCTCCACCCCCGTGGTGGTAGATGGATAGGTAGTGTACTGGGTATTAAGATCTCTACCTACTAGGCAAGTGTAGCCACTGAGCTAGAGCCCAACCTCCTTAACTACTGTTTGGGCATCCAATATCAATCAAGAAATGCTATGATCAGGGACTACCAGATTCCCTGATGTCAACTCTTGACACTTCACCCAGGGGGACAGATAATTACAACCTGGAAAGAGGGATAGTGTTACTCAAAGACTGAACAAGATTTGAGTTATGTGCACTTCACAGCTGACGGTGTCATCCTATGCACTGGATGTCAGTTTATTTCATGATGATCCACTTTGAAAGGTTTCAATCCCTCATGGAATCTTAGTATAGTGGCTTATTTCACAAGACTGGGCTGGGGGTTTAGTTAAGTACAGTGCTTGTATGGCATGCACAAAGCCTTGGTTCCATCCTTAGCACCAAAGCAAATGAGCAAATCTATTCAGGAAGAAAAGGCCTGGGGATAGATACAAATCAGCTACCAAACTCCAGAGATAATGACATTACCCTTCACTGTGCATTCTGTCCTGGAGAGTCTAACAAGATGGCAAACAACTTCATTTCACCCCCATTTAGTAAATACATCTTCCCTATTAAGGTTACTTTGGGTGATCAGAGTAAACTTACAAATAGAAGGAGGAATTCTGACAGTTCAGTCAGCGGGGTCAAGCAGGCTACAGTTGCAGACATGTCATACATGACAGACAAGGCACACTTTGAGGCAAGTCTGGATGGGACTTGGCTGGTAAGCCCTCACAGCCCAATCTAGTGCTCAGCAAAGCAAGCTCGCTTAGGCTGAGTGCCAGTGTTAGGAACATAAGGACTGCCTGCAGTTGCCCTGTGACTGAAAATGGAATCTATTTAAGGTTTATACAGGCAGGTATGTTTGCTTCTACCCACTGGAGCACAAGTATTTGTAGGTTAAGACTCAAGTCATTTACATTTAATGGCATCACATCGAAGAAGCTGCTGCTATGCCAACAGGAGAGAATAGAATAAAGATTTCAGGGTTTCATTTCCTGCACAGATGGCCAAAAATGACATGATTAGCTTTGAGAAACACCTGTTTTCAGTACATGTTCATAATGAAACACCAAACTGACTAGATCTAAAAATTAACATTTTTTTTTCTATGAAACCACATACTCTATTAAAATGTAGTGTTACTCCAAATTTCATACCAAAGGTGCAAGCAAAATCCCTGGGACTCACAAAAGAGCTGTGCACCTGCTTCCTTGCTTTTCTACTAGATGAGATGGAGCAAAACAGCAGACACACGGCCTATTCTAGGGGTACTTCAAAGTGCCAGTTCAACTCTTGTCTCCTAGAAACTTAAGAAACTCAATCTTTACTCTTTACTTTAGAGATGGTATCTATGTTTTTGTATACATGTCCATATATAGGTATACATTCCCAAAGGTACGGTGTTGGGTCAGAGGTCAACATCACATATCTGGTGCAATCAGTATCCATCTTGAGACAAGATCTCAAATTGAACCTGGAGCTCACAAATTCAGGTAGACTAGCTGGCCAACAAGTCTCAGGGATCCTCCTATGTCTGCCTTCCCAAGTGCTGGGATGACAGATACGCACCTTCCACCCCTTAAACATGGGTGTTAGGGATCTGAACTCAGGTTATCCTGCTTGCAAGCCAAGTACTTTACTGACTGACCCATCCCACCAGACCCTGTTTGTTTGAGACAGGGTCTCATGCAGCCCAGGGTGAACTCAAACTCAATATGGAGCAGACAATGATTCTATACTTGGGATCTTCCATCATCTACCTCCCCAAATGCTGGGATTAGAGGACTGTATCACCCTATGTTTTACCCTTGAGACTTAAATTTTTTTATTCTTTGACAATCTCCTATTTATGTGTTTTAATCATATTCACCCCATTATCTTCTTCATCTCTCTCCCATTGGACCCCCTCTTCCTAATAATACCCCCTTCTATCTTGTATGAGTATATCCCACTGAGTTTAACTAAGGTTGCTTGTATGAGCATGGGTGGAGAGGTTTACTGTAGCATGGGCAGCTTCCCAGTGGCTACACCACTGAAGAAAACGACTCTCCCTTCCCTAGCAACCGTTTTGACTTCTGTCATTCATGAAGTAGGATGACTGGCTTACCCACCAAACCAATGCTGAAAAGTCAACATCAGTATCTTGCAAGAGTTTGAGTTTCAGCACTGTTCAAAATGCACCTCTAAAATGCCACCGCTAGTATGAGGAACTAGAGGACTACAGAACCAAACCAATACACCCAAACCTGCACTTCCCTGAGTATCTGTTCATCTTGTACTTAAATCCTGGACCCACTGAGCTGGTTAGATACTGAACAGTCACCATCTATTCTAATCTTAGTTTCCAACCAGTTATGTTAGATAACTTTTACCATGGATTTCAAAGTTTGACTAAAATAAAACAGTGTCTTGTTTTCTGCAACTGCTACCCAAAGCTAAACTACTTGCCTCACCAGTAAGAGATCCAGTTATCAAAGAATAATTGCAAATATGCAGGCAATACTGCCACCCAGTGACTGTCAGCTCTTAGCCGAGAACAGCATGCACCAACATCACAGACCCCCAAGCCGTTATTTCTAAGGTTCCAAGTCCCTTCAGCTTCACATATGAACACTGAAGGATTAGTCACAAGGACCCCAGCAGTGACCTGCTCAGGCAGAAGCAGGCTGCAGGTGTAATTACAAAGGCAAAACAGCCTGTCTATTTTAGAAACTGCTCACTTTTAACCCAACAGTATCTAAGTTCAGGACAAGTGTGAGTTTTTCACTGATAGGAATGCTACCTTAATTAAAATTTAAAGGAAAGCAAGAAAAAATTATTTCATTTCCTTATGTACAGGATTAAAGATACTTTAAAAAGTTCAAAACACTTGAGTTTTATTGAAAACAATAACATACAGAAAAACCAGAGTCTCATTTTTAAAGCAAAATTGACACCATCTTCCAGAATGTTCTTAGTATTGTACCATTCTTGTCACTATTAAAGTTAGGGTCCAGATCCAGAGTAGCAAATGAACCTGCTGGTTAACGTTCCCTGCAGTTACTTAGTCTAAGTCCTGTCCTACTTGTTTTTAAATTTTATATTTTATCTTTTCAGAAAGAGCAGTTTTTGAATGATTTAAATTATGAGAACTGGATTCTCATTATTTCTTCATATTAAGAACAACAAAAACCCAAACTAAGAATCCAAAAAGAAACAAAACAAACCCCAACACACCTGACTCAAACTGGGAGAAACACACATTTGTTCACTGACGCGCACCTGCTTTAGATAATTGCTGACCTTCACACATTAGCATACAGAGCAGTGTTTGATCCATGCTTCAAAAACTATACAAGATGAAAAGACCTGTTAATTCCCTAGGAAAACCTTAAGGCAAAGCCAAAGCCTTATGCTAGAAAAGAAAACAGGACGCAGAGGCATTGGGGCTGTGGAGACAGATGAGCCAGCACCACAAGGATGAACAAGACTTTTTGTACAAACATGTGCAAGAAGATAAAGTCCACAAAGGAGCATGAAACATCACTTTCCTGCAGAAATAAGGGTCATGTCAGATAAGGACTCCTGAAAAGTTCTGTTTGTGTCTTTGTTAAAAGCCGCCTCTTCTCTTCAGTGGTTACCAAATGCATCAAAGCCACTTCAGGCCTTTGATGAGAGGTGGCCCTGGTGTCTGTGCCCTCTGGAAAGCTGTCACTTCCTTCCCACTCTAACACGGGCTAACTCCAAACTCTGGGCAGTCCCTGCACGCTTCTAAATTGTACTAAGATGTCTTAGCATAGAGATTTCCTTAAGGCTATAAACGTTACACGTTGGTCCCATTAAACAAGTCAGGAGTTTTTCAGATGACATGAGCCAAACATTTGCACATTTCAACAGAAGAAGACAGTTTCGCTCACCTCTGAGTCTGAGGGGAAGAAACAATTAGCTGGTTTCCACCTGGTTTCAATACTGGTTTGAAGCTGGAGTAATTTTATTGTGTAGACATAAATATTTTTTTGTTTAAATATTAAACATTACACCTTTTCCTGACATCCAGACAGAAAGAGAGAGAGCAAGAATAGGCAAAAGAAACAGTCCACCGGACAGACTTGTGACTTCTATGCCATCCACAGGAGGGATTTCAGCATGGGTTGCAAAAATGCCTGGAAGCTAGTTTCTAAAAATTCACCTCTACTCGGCATAAATCTTTTTCTTTTCTTCCCCCTACAAAGGGAGAAGAACCCAGAAAATGAAAACTGAGGTGCTCTGCTGTGGAAAAGAGCCACCACCTTACACAGACTGCTCTACAGTGCAGAAGGAGCTGCCAAGCCTTCATTACATGTCCTGCCATGCTGAAGAGCTCTTCCTGAGAAATTAAAAACTTTAACCCTGGTTATTCCCAAAGAACACCTTGAGCCTGGTTCGGGTACTCAAAGGGTAAAGATTTCCTGCTGGCAGGAAGCCATCTCCTACTAACGTTTAGGCTTACTGTACAATAGCTTAAGCACCGGACAATGAGCTATTAAATCTCCAAGACACTTGCCCATTTATTCTCAGCCAATTCACTGTTTCAAAACCAACATTTAAAAAACTCAACTTGCTAATACAAGTGTAAGCTTCCCTTTCTAAACTCTAGAAGTTACCAACGCTGAGCTTAGCTGTCACTGCACGTCCTCATGAAAAGACCTTTCTTTCACCGGCGAGTCACACAAGGGTTACCTCACATTCTTTTAATCAACGATTTAAAGTTAACTGAGGTGTAAACATTACTGAGCAACTGAGCTTATCAGCCATTAGAGGAGACCAAGGGCTACTGCTTGAGTAATAACAACTATACTGACCTGCCTCCAGCACAAGTTTCCTTGTGCCTTCAAGTCCTTTGCAAGAGACCCAAACTACTGCTTTTTCCCCTCCCGCTCCCCAAGCGTACAGTTACCACTACAAGAAGCTCAATACTCTGCTGTCAAGGTACAGTGGCAATTGGGAGCATTCCTCTGTATAAAATCATCTTAAGAATGAATGGCTTCAGCAATGTGACAGATGACTTAAGTCACTGTAACACATTCAGCGTCTATGGTTGTCTTTAAAGAGACTGTAACATTTCTTGGATAAGCCTGTTAGAAAACTGTATTTCCCTTGAGATAAGCTTCCTTGGCAAAAAGTTGAATTCAATAAATGGCTACCCACAATGACAGTCCCACCCCAAATCACAGGTGGAGATATTACACCCGTTTCATAAAACTTTCAGGTCCCTATACTATACAGGCAGGCTCATTACTCAACACAGGAGCCTTCTAGAACTTGCCAAGTCGGAGCAGAAACTGGTCTCTAGAGCTCCATCTCCTCTTCTGTGCTAGCAGCCGTCTCCAGAGTGTGGTAGAGCGGTGTGTCTGTGTGCCGAGGTCCTAGCAGCAGTTCAGTTCTCTGTGGAAAGGCAGTGCTGGCAGCTACACGCTTCGTCTGGCTCTCTCCCACGTAGTTCTTAGAGTTAGAAGATGGCTTTGGCTTCTCAGAAAGGAGTTCAGGGAGAGGTTTCCAGAGCACAAGCTCCATAGAAGGACGGCTCCTGGGAAGTTAAATACAGATGTCTATAAAAAAAACTCTAGGACATGCAAATCTCACTATTCCACACCCTCCAGTTAAGACCTAGTGGTCCTCAAAGTGTTGGCCTGCTGTTCTTTTGTATCTCTACCCACGTAACTATTGCCACAGTCTCACTGTTATCTTCATCCTGATGTCTTTCATCAGTTCTCATTATATACATTTAAATCTTTTAATTAAAAATAAGAGTTCACTTCAGCAGCAGATAGACTAACCCTGGAACGACAGGTGTTAGCATGGCCACTGTACAAGGATACACAAAACGTGAAGCTATCTACATTTTGTTTTGTTTAGCTTTAAAAGAGAGCTAGAGATATTTAGGAGAATTCAAACTGGACTNTGCGTGTTCTTTCTATCTATATGTATATGTGTGTGTGTGTGTGTGTGTGTGTGTGTGTGTGTGTGTGTGTGCTAGGCAGTGGTGGCACACACCTTTAATCCCAGCACTTGGGAAGTAGGGGCAGAAGGATCTCTGTGAGTTCAAGCCATCTTGGTCTACAGAAGCTAGATCCAGGACAGGCTCCAAAGCTACAGAGAAACCCTGTCTTGAACCCCCCCCCCAAAAAAAAAGTGTGTGTGTGTGTGTTTGTGTCTGTATGGAAACATGAATGTGTGTGTAGTAGGTGCCCGCTGATGTGGGTGCTGTGGGTGTCAGTTATTGAACTCCAGTCCTCTGCAAGAGCAGTACATCCCCTAAGAAATGAGCACTATTCCCAGGTCCTCAAATACATTCACCATTCCATATGTAATTTTTTCTCTGATGTGCTGGAGATTGAAGGCAGGACCTCACACATGTAAGAGTTTCACTTCTTAGCAACCTCACTAGCCATGCTTATATTTTTAAACCATAAATAGCAATAATATAAAATATCCAGGCAAAAACCAGGACCCCTGAGCTGGGAGTAATGGCGCAAGCCTTTAGTTCCAGCACTCAGGAGGTAGACGCAGGCAGACCTCTAAGTTCAAGGCAAGTTGGGTCTACATACCAATGTCTAGAATATCCAGGACTATACAGAGAGACCCTGTCTCAGTAACAACAAAAAAAGAAAGAAAAACCGGTCCTTAGATTTAATTTAATGCTGTAACTTTAAGTGGGGTGCTGGCGATGGAGCTAAGGCCCTCACATGCTAAGGACCACTGAGCTACATCACTAGTCATCATACACAGACTTTTTAATGAGCAGATCTGCATGACTACAGTTTTTTAAGCTTTGAATTGTGGTACTGAGTCTCATGTAAAGTGAGCAACTGTTCTAGTACTATACTACTGTGGGTAACTGTCATATATTAAATTGTAAATAAAAATGAAATCCTGGACCAGCATATTAATTTCTGAGGCTTTTTGTTTCATATTGTTATGAAGTGGAATGTTTTGCAGTTAAACCAAAACAATTATACTAGATATGCACAAACGTGTATTTCTCCTAGCCATAGCTGCGAGTAGCATCTGTAATCCCAACACTTCAGAGAGGTACAGGCAAGGAGGGCTAGAAGTTCTAGGCTAGTCTGTGCTACATAAGAACCCATCTGATCTCCAAAGTAGATTTTCTAGGAAAATCATCTGGGGACCAGAAATAAAGAAGAAGAAATGACAATGAAGACTATTTTCAAAGGCCCAGCTTTGGAAAACTACCATGAGCAGCAGACACTGTTTTGAACAGGAGGGCGATATGACCTGCATACATGTTGGCTACACTATTTACACACCCTCAGGCCCGAGTAGTTAATTATAAACGTAAGCTAGGGCCTGACTGAAAACCTTCTGGCTCTCCCACCAAGCAGTAGCTGAACGGCTTTCACTCCATCTATACCCAGCACTATTGGGGTCTGGGTGCCAAGAGCCCTTTTCAGAGCCTAATTTACACTCAGTGAGTACTAAGTCCAGGTTTCCCAGGTGGTACTTCCATGTACTTTTCAGCTTGCCTGTTACCCTGCACAGCAGACAATGAGGACTGAGACCTGCACACTAGGCCGAGCTCTCTCCAGTCTACCACTTTGGCAGGCTTGTGTTTGCCACCGTTTCCTTCCTTAGTCTCTCCTGTTACTCACTATTCCCCACCCTAAGCCTGCCTGTTTTCTCGCCTGCGGCTTCTGTGCTTCTACTCTGAAAACATCACAAACCAGTTAACTGAGCTCATTAAACTATGGGTTTATTTTCTGTTTTTCTTTTTTGTGGCACTAAGGATGGAACCTAGGGCATGGCAAGTACTCCACCAAGAGCCACTTCCCTAGTCCCTATTTTATTCATTTACTTATTTATTTTTAGACACAGACCTCTTAGTCTGGCTTTGCACTATCACATTCATCCTAAAACTATGTTTTGTCATTTTCCCTCCCGCCTTTTATTGAGACAAAATCTCACTCCGTAGTCCTGGCTGGCCTGGCATTCACTATGTAGACCAGAAACTAATATCTCTGCCTCTTAATGCTGCTGGGGCTACCTGTGTAAGCCGCCATGGGGCTACCTGTGTAAGCCGCCATGGGGCTACCTGTGTAAGCCGCCATGCCCACCAAACCATGCTTTCAATCGAAAGCAAAGGGAGTGGTAGCAGGGAGGCTGCGAATTTGAACCTAGCTTGGGCCACACAGTAACATTTCCACTCCCCAAAACAAAATGAGCTAAATACTCTAAAATGGCCCCAAATGCTGTTCTACGGTTTGTAGGCTTTGAGATAACTAATTTAATTGTTGGACTCATTTGACACATCACTTTGTTTCCTAGGTCTCCATGCTGTGTCTGAGTAACTAAGAAAACCAGATAAACCAAAGGTTTCAAAATGTAGTTCCTAGTCTTCCTGTAAGAATTGATGGGCTTTCCTATCATACAACAAAAGTATATGCTCAACTATGTTCATAGCAGCATTGTTTGTAATAGCCAGAACCTGGAAACAACCTAAATGCCCTTCAATGGATGAATAGATGAAGAAAGTATGGAATATATACATATTAGAGTACTACTCAGCAGTAAAAGACAAGGACTTCTTGAAGTTTGCAGGCAAATGGATGGAAATAGAAAACACTATCCTGAGTGAGGTATCCCAGACCCAAAAAGAGGAACATGGGATGTACTCACTCATATTTGGTTTCTAGCCATAAATAAAGGGCATCGAGCCTATAATTCGGGTTCCTAGAGAAGCTAAATAAGAAGGAGAACCCAAAGAAAATCATATAGGCATCCTCCTGAATATTAACCTTCATCAGGCGATGAAAGGATACAGAGACAGAGACACACATTGGAGCACCGGACAGAAATCTCAAGGTCCAAATCAGGAGCAGAAGGAGAGAGAGCATGAGCAAGGAACTCAGGACCGCGAGGGGTGCACCCACACACTGAGACAATGGGGATGTTCTATTGAGAACTCACCAAGGCCAGCTGACCTGGGTCTGAAAAAGCCTGGGATAAAACCGGTCTTGCTGAACATAGCGGACAATGAGGACTACTGAGAACTCAAGAACAATGGCAATGGGTTTTTGATCCTACTGCAAGTACTGGCTTTGTGGAAGCCTAGGCAGTTTGGATGCTCACCTTACTAGACATGGATGGAAGTGGGTGGTCCTTGGACTTCCCACAGGGCAGGGAACCCTGATTGCTCTTTGGGCTGAGGAGGGAGGGGGAGGGAAATGGGAGGCGGTGGCGGGGAAGAGACAGAAATCTTTAATAAATAAATAAATTAATAAAAAAATGTTAAAAAAAAAAGAATTGATGGGGTTTGATACTGACCCTTTCCCAGGTACTGGATCAGTTATTGGAAATGATATGCACTGTAACTTACATGGACTCAATCATCTTCTTTGTGAAGACTTCATCAAATTCCCTCTTCAAACCTGTTTTCATGGTGTCTGAAAGGACAAGACTTGGGAGGTGGCTAACATTTCTGTCACTTTCAACCTCTTCATCTTCGTCAATTATCCTAAATAATGAAGTAAAAACAGAGAAAGGAAAAAAATTAGTCAAAGTATTATATGTTCTTGCAGTAAATAACCAAAATTTAAAATTCGAAGAGTAAAATCACAGGTGTTATAGTAAGAGATTAAGTGACCAAATGAGGCTATCTTTTCCACCTCGGTGGGAAGGGTTGTTCAGTAATTCATGTAACAAAGTTCTGGAATGGAGTTAAGTTTGAATAATGTGACTTGACCTGTAAGAGCTCGCTCTACCACCCTGAAGTATTTCTCATACCTTGATCCCTAGAATCATCAAATGATGCCCCTGACTGCTTAAGAGGGCTGGGACTCAGGAGCAGCAAGCCTTGCAACACACACTGTCAGTACCTGTCCTCAATCTCTTGAAGCCTCCTGCGGGCAACTTCACACTGTGCTTCTGTGGTTGTCTGATCCATTTCTTCACAGACAGCATCTAGCATGCTGGGTTCAGAAAGGCCACTAGGACACGTGTTTACCCCATGACCTTCTACACCCTGGTGTGTGTCCAGAGCCCATTCATTAGCAACTGTACAGAGTTCAGCTTCAGTCAATCGCTTCTTTCTTAATGGACACCTAGGAGGAAGATGAAAGCAGTAGGAAGAAAAAGAAGGGAAAAAAGTTAAAAACTCTATTACAGATGAAATTAAGACATTTTTCTAGTCAATTAAAAATAATTCTTTTTTTCTTGAGATAAATTCTCACTGTGTCCTTGGTTGTCCTCATCCACAGAGTTCTCTGCCTGCCTTTGCCTGGAGGGCTGCGATTAAGGATACATGCTACCATGTCCAGTTCCAATTTATTCAGTTTTAAAAAAGATCTATTTATTATGTTTGAGTGTTCTGACTGCATGTATGTGTACCACATGTGTGCCTGTGGAGGTCAGAAGAGGTCTCAGATACCCAGAACTGGGATTATGGACATCTGTGAGTGACTATGTGGGTACTTGGAATTCAATCTGAGGGTCTTCTGAAAGAACAAGTGCTGAGCTGTCTCTGCAGTCCCAATTTATTATCTTTTTAAATCAAATTCTTAAATATAAATGATGTGGGATTCCCCTTTGTATGCTATGAACATGTTTTATTGCCATTGATTAATAAAGAAGCTTCTTTCGCCTATGGAGGGCAGAATGTAACTAGGCAGTAAACTAAACTGAATGCAGGGAGAAAAATGGTGGAGTCAGGTAGCCTTCCAAAAAGCAAGATGTGAGGTAACAAACCACCAGTCTCGTGGTAAAATATAAAATAGAAATGGGTTAATGTAAGATGTAAGAGCTAGCTAGCTAGAAATACCCCTGAGCTGTTGGTCAGTGTTGTAATTAATATAGTTTTCATGTGATTATTTGGGCCTGGGTGGCCGGGAAACGAGTAATACCTTGTTTAAGGTATGTTTATGCAGCTCATTTAAAAAATGTAATGTATAGTTAATACAAATGAACAGTTGTCTATAACAGTTAAACTTACAGTCATGTTAGTTAGATTTAACTAGATATAGATATATTTCAGATGGGTAGGTAACCTTCAAATACTTCAAAGACCTACAGAAAGAATATGGCATTTAAAAAGTTTTAAAAACTTGAAGACTTTTCCTGACTGTGAGTCTGCTTCTGGCAGCACTAATTACTTCAGAGAGGTCAATGGCATTGAAAAAACTCATTATGGAATCTGCCTTCAATGTGACAGTCTAGCCATTTGGGCAAGAAACTGCTCTTGCCTGGACTGCTTTGACAGTATGCTATATAAACTGGACATATAGGACCCACAGAAAAATGACTGCTGAACTTGCCAAAAGATGGTGAGACAGTCTTGCAGGGTTCTTGCTTCATAAAAAAAGAGTCTGCTAGACATTCTGCAGGGTACAGAAGAAAATGACTGACAAACTGCCAATACTGGCAAAGCGGTCTTCCAAATGTCCTGCTTCATGGAAAATCCTGCCAGATACTATGGGCCTGTAGGCTGAATATGGATGCCCCAATGTTACAGAAGAACTTTGAGTAACTGTCGAGGCAGTAAAATGTCTCTGTCAATTCTAGAGTTTTGGAAGTTGCTTACAATGCACTTCCTATTTACTTAGGTAATATTATATCCTTCTGGGGTCTTTGATGGAGTGGAAGAGAGTTACAGTTTTTGTTAATTATGGCTTTTTTTTTTTTTTTTTTTTTTTTTGAGACCAGGGTTTCTCTGTAGCTTTGGAACCTGTCCTGCAACTAACTCAGGTAGACTAGGCTGGCCTTGAACTCACAGAGCTCCACCTGCTGTCTGCCTCCCACATGCTGGGATTAAAGGTGTGTGCCATCACCGGCTGGCTTTCCTTAGTTATGATAAAAGATAAATTAGATATGAAACTTTAGACTCACAAAGATAAAATAGATGACAGAATATTTTCTACAAATAGACTAAATATTTTAACTGTTAATTCTTGCTTGATACCTGTTTTGTTATATATAATTTTACTATGTTAAAGTTAAAACCTTCCTTTCATTTACACAAAAAAGGGGAGATGATGAAGGATTCCCCTCTGTATGCTATAAATATGTTTTGTCACCATTGGTTAATAAAGAAGCTGCTTTGGCCTATGGCGGGAGGAAACAAAACTGAATGCAGGGAGAATGAAGGTGGAGTCAGGCTGGCACCATGTTGCCTCCCAGAAATCAATGTGAGGTAACAAACCAGGAGCCTCACGGTAAAATATAAAATAACAGAAATGAGTTAAAATATAAGAGCTAGCTAGAAATATGCCTGAGTCATCGGCCAAACAGTGTTGTAATTAATATAGTTTCTGTGTGATTATTTAGGTCTGGGTAGCTGGGAAATGAAAGCACACTCTCCATTTACATCTAAAAATCTTTAGTTTTTTTCTACAGCTAGAATATCATGTCTTTTTCCTCTTCACAGCTTCTCTGAGAAATTTTCTTTTTCTTTTTTTACTAATTTATGCAACACCTCCAAAACTTTAACCTTTTAAAGGAAAAAAATCTGTAGGAAAAATCAAGTGGGAAGCAAAGCAACAAAAAAGACAAAGTAGGGCTGGAGAGGTGGCTCAGCAGTCAAGAGCATTATCTAGTGGACACAGGTTCAATTTCCAGTACCCACAAATATCTGTAATTCCAGTTCCAGGGAATTCAACACTCTGTCCTGGCCTCTAAAAGCACCAGGCACAAACTGGTTGGTGCAGACATAAACACAGGCAGAACACCCACACATATTGAAAAGACAAAGCAATTCTGCCCCAGCTACATTTTAACATTGCTGCGTCATATTCCCTGACCCACATGAGAGAAAGTATCTGGCTGTCACCCTATATTTCCTTAGAGTAAACACATGCATCTACTAAAGTATGCTTCAAGTACCATAAGAACAGACCATTAGCATAAATTTCTTGCCTTTGGCTGTCTGTCCCTGACTAATGTCTAAGACAGCCAGAATTACATAAAATTCTGTCAAGAAAAAAAAAAAAAAGGAAGAAGAAGAAGCTTTAGGCTGGATGTGGTAGTGCATACCTGTGAAACACCAGCTGAGAAAAAGCATAAATAGAGACAGAAAAGGCAATTTCCCAGAGTAACAATTCATCTACGAAATAGTTATTTGATTTTTAGGTTATTTCATGATTGTAGGCTTGCTCTGCTAATAACTGAAGATCAATAGTGGTTAAGCTCTAAAGAAAACATGAACTAAAAGGCATCTAGGAGCTGGCTTAAGAGTATGCACCGCAACTGCAAGACCCAAGTTCAGTTCCCAGCACCCACATCTGGTGGCTCACATCCACCTGCAACTTCAGCTCCAGGGACTCTACCACTTTCCGGGCTCTGAGCATCAGCATACATGCGTGAATGCACACTCACACACAAATAAAACTGAAACACAACTGAAAGGCTTCTAGATACTAAGAAGAACAATAAAGGTGGCAAACCCAGCAGTACATATCTGGGCACACACCCAAATGTCTAAACCATCTCCCTCAAGGCCTCAATCTCTCCATTCACAAATCAAAGGTAGTTAACTTTTTAACTGATAGTTTCTACCCCCCCCCCTCCCTACCCACCAGGGTTTCTCTGTGTCTCTGGCTATCTTGGAACTCATTCAGCAGACCAGACTAGCCTTAAACACAGAGAGATCTGCCTGCCTCTGCCTCCAGGCACTGGGATTAAAGGTGTGTTAGTTTGTACACTTTAAGCAAACACTAGAATCAACAATTCAACAATCTAGAGCACTACGGGGAAAAAAAAAGATTCTTGTGTTTTCTAAAGCAACCCTAAGGCAACAAACACCCCCCCCCCCTCCTCCCAAAATCTAGGAATTGATTTAAGGCAATGTTTTGGACTGGGGTAAACAGTTTGGAGGGAAGAGTGTTTGTCATGAAAGTATGAGGACCTGAGTTCAATCCCCAGAACCAACATAAAAAATGTCAAGCATGGTGACTCGTAATAGTAGCACCAGAGGGGCAGCGAGAACAATCCCCCTGGGATCTGCTTGACCCCCTCACCTCAGCTTAATGGTGAGCTCCAAACCAGTGAGAAACCCTGTTTCAAAAACTAGATGGGCAGCTAGGTTGATGGCTCTGTGGATAAAATACATGGCAGCCAGAATGAAAAAGAGAAAATACTTGGATGGCAGGTAGGTATGGTAGCCCACTGTAATTTAGGGCACAGAAGAGAGGGGATTCACTGAGTAAGCAAAATGCAAGTTCTGGGCTCAAGTGAGATATCCTGTCTCAAAATATAACATGAAGCGCAACTGAGGAAGACCCCTGATGTCAACCTTTGACCTCCACATACTCGAGGGCAGAATGAGACCTTTTCTCAAAACAAACAAAAGGTGAATGATACTTAAGAAACAACATCCAAGATCTACTTCTGCTTCCTGTACCCCAAGTCTACCTTTACTCACTATTCATAAAAATAAGCAACCTTCAAGCATTGTTTTTTTTTTTAAATATTTATTTATTATGTATACAATGTTCTGTCTGTATGCCTACAGGCCAGAAGAGGGCGCCAGACCTCATTACAGATGGTTGTGAGCCACCATGTGGTTGCTGGGAATTGAACTCAGGACCTTTGGAAGAGCAGGCAATGCTCTTAACCACTGAGCCATCTCTCCAGCCCCAAGCATTTTTTTTTAATTATGAGTCTAAGCATCAACAAATCTGGCCAATTCAGTTTTTTTAAAAATTCTTTTTAAGCCAGAGTCCAAACAGGCAGCAAGTCAATCTGTTACTAAGGATGGTCTTGAATGTCTAATCCTGCCTCCATCTCCCTCAAAGAGCTGAGATTACTGGCTTTTGTTTGTTTTATATAGTGCAGGGCTGGCCTCACACTCCGTGATCTCACCCTCAGAATGTTGGGATTACTGGAGTGAGCCATCAATCTCAGAAAAGAATTCGGTTTTTGCAAGGGGTGGGGGTAGAACCATACAGGCAGGTAAACTCTCCAGGACAGGGTTTGGGATAAATGAAGCTCAATGGGGAAGAGCTTAAGGAAAAACAAAGTAAGTAAAGATGCTTGCCCTCAAACTGACAACTTGAATTTGATCCTAGAACCCACATGGTGGGAGAGAATCAACTTCCAAATGTTGTTCTCTAACATACCCACCATGGCATTTGTGCACATATGCAATAATAAAAAATAAAAGAGCCGGGCAGTGGTGGCACAAGCCTTTAATCCCAGCAGCACCCGGGAGGCAGAGGCAGGTGGATCTCTATGAGTTCAAGGCCAGCCTGGTCCACCAGACCTAGCTCCAGGACCCACTTAAAAGCTACAGAGAAATCCTGTGGGGGTGGGGACAAAAACAAAACAAAACAAACAAAGCAAAAAAGTCTTGAGGTGTGGTGACATTAACAGGCAGAGGCAAGCAGATCTCTAAGTCTGAGGTTAGCCTGCACTACAAAGTGAGTTTCTCACTAGGTGGATTACATAGTGAGGCTGTCTCTAAAAGCAAAACCCAACAGGTAGACCTTGTAAACACTCATTTGGAATAAGCTGCAAGATAGCAGAGAAAAAGGAAGCCCCCCCCCCTCCCCGCATTGCAGTGTGAAAGGGTAGCTAGCTACAAAAGCTAACAACTGAAACACACGGCCATAAAGTTTCTGGACTTCTATTTTCCTCAGGAGAAGAAACAGGTTACAAGGTTACCTCTTGTCAAGAACACAAACTCTTTCCAATTTATATCTTTTGATGTTCCTCCCCCCTCCCCCCAATTCTGTGTCTATAATGACACAGTTTAAAATTCAAACATTACATTGGTTACAAAGTGAGTTTTTCTCTACCTGACTGCTACTCAGTTCCTGCCCCTAAAAGGCACACAATGTCAGTAGTTTAGAGGAGACACATAGGCTTCACCTTTTCCACTTAAATTAGGATACGGGTGTTAAGCTAACAGCGATCACAAAGAGGACAAATGGTCCCGAAACTTACTCTTCATCCTCCGCCAATCGCTTGTGTTTCTTTCTACAGTGAATGGAAACACTGCTGGAACAAACAAAAACAAATCAGTCAACCAAGACAGTAACTTAAATATATCAGATTTCTGCATCCCGTCGTTCTCACTCTACTTATCGGGATCTCCCGCCACAAACTGCATATCCCTTCTCTGTGCCCAAGATCTTGCGGAGGACTCTAAATAACCAGACTAGGAAATCTCAAGTTGTCACTTCTGTCGGGGTAGTGACAGTTCTGCACTCGCTCCAGGTCCCAATTCTGTGCCGATGAGGAATCACGGTGTCCCAGAGACTCTCAAAAGTTGTCCCGGCCGGCGGCCGCGCGTGTAGAGGGAGCGGCCAAGCCCGAGGACCCTCGGTGGGTCGCCAAGCCGGCGACCCGGGACTCACGATTAACGTCCCGCGGGGTAACGGGCCCGCCCCACCTGCTCCTCACCGTCCGCGCGCTGCTCTCCCGCCCGGGCCGCTAGGCGCAACGCGGGCGCCCGGCCGCGGGGCCAGGTCGGGGCTGGTGGCTCCTGGCGGGAAGGCCCGGCCCGCGAAGGCCGGCGACGGCTGCAGGAAGTCCGCGCTGCCACTCAGAGGGAGGCCGCTGAAGGGCCGGCCGAGCGCCGCCATGGCTTTCAAGACGAGGCTGCGTACGCCACCCCAGTCGCTAGTGTATCCTCAGGTCCCGCAGTGGCGGCCACCGCCGCTGCCCACAAGAACCCGCCTCCGAACCCGCTTCGACCCCCCACGTCACGCCTTCTAGAACCCTCCACTCCGGACCGCCCAGAGACACGTCGGGATTTGTTATGTATAGTGGGCCGCTGTCGTGGGGCATGCCGGGAGTTGTGGTTCTTGAGGACTACAAGTAAGATGGCTGGCGATGTTCTTGGCGAATCGCTGGAGGTCAGGTCGCCCTGCCCTGCAGGCGCCTAAGAGGACAGAGTCCTAATCCCTGACCCAGAGCTTTGAGCTAGGCGTGGTGGTTCATCACTATCCTCCCAGCTCTTCACGTGGTGGAGACAGGATGATCTAACATTTGAGGCCAACTTTGACTATGTAGCATGGTCTAGGCTAGCCTGGTTTTTTTGAGACCCGACCCCCCCAAAAAGGGGGGGAGTTATATATGCCTCTACTTCCTCTGTAGTAAAGCAGGATAATAAAAGTGTTTTCAGAGTTGAGGTGAGGAGTAAATAAGTTTTAAAAAAAATCTAAAGGTGCAGCCGGGCATAGTGGCACACACAATTTAATCCCAGGGCAGAGGCAGGAGGATCTCTGTGAGTTCGAGGTCACTTTGGTCTACATAGCGAGTTTTAGGCCAGCCTCGGTTACCTAGAGAGACCCTGCATCAATTCAAAACAAAACAAAATGTCTAATGGTGAGACGTGACCACCGGAGTATTATTCTAGAACCTATGGTGGATGGAAACCAACTCCAAAAAGTTGTTCTTCTACCCGTGGGCCTTGGTGTGCACCCCACCCTCAGGTACATACATTTGCTCTCATGTGTGTTAGGAATATTCTTAAGACGAGCCTCTCCACCGACGCAAATAATTCCAATCAGACCAAATTAGATAGAATAAAAGATGCCCACTTTTAATGCAGTGCTCCCGGGTGGCACGGGGAAAGCGTGGCGAGGGGAAGAGAGCTGGGAAGGCCAGGCGAAACCTGGAGACCACCTGTTCCATTTCTGGGCAGCAGCCTAAACAGTGGTCCTGACCCTCCCTGGGGAGGGGTCACTGTTTGGCGGGCTTTCCCAGAGGAGGAGTCCAGGCCAAGGAGACTCCCAGGGGAGGGGGCTTGAAATGAAGCTTCCTGCTCCATTGATGCTCAAAGGATAAATGCTAGGGGCTGGGGTCTCACTTTTGACCAAACATCCCAGAGTTCTTGGATATAGGGGCGTTGGCTCAAGTCTGGTTACTTCCTGCGGGCATGGGGGTGTCGTGGGATGGGGAGCTGGGAGTTGGTGAGTTCCTACTCAGTATGAGGAGTGGCTGGAGCAGCATCCAGTTTATTGTCATCCTGGAATCCGCAGGCAGCTGCTTTTTGAGGGAGATGAGAAGGAAGGAGGCTAGGAGAAAAAAATATTGAATATGAATATGAATAGGGCTAGCCACAGGAAGTCATTAACTACCAAAAAGAATGGAACAGAGAAGTGCCCTGGTTTTACAGGTGAGGCTCAGGTGTATCAGATACAACCAGATTTTAGTTGGTAGGTGTCCTTGATCCAGGAGAGTTGTACCAATAGTGAAGTCCCAGGAGCTGGTGCAGGTGTTTGGCATTGTCTGGGGAGCGCTTTGTAAGTTGGTCTTGGCCCAGACAGAAGGAGTGGCTTGTAAAACATGCTTGAAAATGAGAGTGGTTAAAACACTCTCTGGAGACTGTTAGCCTTTACCAGACCAGATTTTCTTTTGATAACGCAGCAGAACTTTTCCCCAGAACCTGTAGGTATCTGTAAGACAACTGGAACAGATTTACATCTTGCTGTCATAGCAAAAGGCTATTGCTTTAGGTTAACAGGTATAAACATTTTAGAAGACAATTATAGGGAATTGGAAACTCTGGATTTTTAAGATACACTGGAAACCTCTTAGTCCTGGACTATGAAGCCTGTGAAAGAGGCACACCTGTCTGTATTTTAGCAGGAAACTTAACTAATAAAGTAATGAGCTACCAGTACCTTAAGTCATCAAATGCCATTAGACAGGTCTGGGAGGGATGAATGAGCAAAAGTGAGACAGCTTTTTGGCTACTCAGGCAATTCCAAATCTCTTCCTAGTCCTTGGTGAACAGCCTAGAAGCAGTGTTTGCTGTTAGCTGCTGAGTACAAGAAGCCCCAAAATTTTCCTGTGGTGGTGGGGGGGAGGATTTAGTCTACCTGTCTCGGTGGGATGAGAACATTGATTCCCTGGGTAGCATCCAGGAAGCTGAAGAGGTGGAAGGCTGCTTTTTGCTGTGTGGGTGGCTTTGCCAAACCCAAAGGCAAGCCTGGAGGCAGAAGGTCTTCTGTAACCATGCATCTTCTTGGAGGAGCTATAGGATGCTGCAGGAGCTGGCATGTCTCTGAGTTAGAAGCTCTTTTGTTAAATGCCATACTCTCAGATTTGTAAAGGCACTTGAGAATTGGGTTATTTATTACCTGTTATTTTAAACTGGGGATATAAACTAAATCCAATTAGTTACAGTTTACCAACGCTAGTAAATGTAAGTCAAAGAATACTAGCACATGTGGGTATTCTTACCCAAGATGGCAGAGAGGTCAAAATGGAGGTTACCCACGTGTTTTGTATTTTTCCAGAGCTGTTTTAGCCTGGAGTTATAAATTTTACTGATTTTAAAACAAACACACATGCACACAGAAACATAAATTGAGCATAATATGAAAACATACTCACATATTTACACAGACATACTGTGGCCACATTATTTTAACAGACAGACAAAACACTTTTAGAAACCTGTCTCAGCTGACCAACTTAAAAACCCCGGCATAGATAGGCAGTAGAAGCTGGGGAAACACAGAGCTGGTCCAGATTAGCAGATGCTGTGAGAGAAAACAAAAATCAAAAGGACTAAAGCACTACATGGCTAGAGCGAAAGGACAGGAAAAAAGATCCATTTTAGAGAACTTTAGAGTGAGGCAAACAGCAAACAGCAGGAAGGGGGCAGGAGCCCCCACCATTCTGGGAAGTTGCCTGTCTTGGGCAGGTGGGGCTTATAGGTTGGAGGCATTTTTGTTTTATAGGTCTCTTAAACACAGTAATTTAAACCTAAAACCCAAGATTAGCCATCACACAGAGAGACTGAAGGATTTAGATAGAGGCTAGGGATGATGGAGAGATGGCCTAACTAATAAAAGAGAAATATTAAGCCCTTAATAGTAAAGAATAGGCAGAGGTCTTCCAGGGACTTGGACCACTTCTTTCCACTCTTTCATGGTCTGGTGCTTCTGGTCATGGTAGCTGGTAGATGTCTTCAGCCTTGATGAGAACCTGGGCCAGTCTAGGGAAAGCTAACATCATATTATAGTTCTGGATGAGATATTTATCTATGGGAAACACGTTTACCTGTGTATACTATGTGCTCTGTTCAATTGTGTATGCATGCAAATGTGTATGAATATATGGGATTATAGGTGGACTTCTCATCAGAATGTTGCATCCCCAATAATGTCATGGAAACATTAATTATGAAAGCTCAGCTGATAGCCTAGGCCTGTTTCTAACTAGGTCTTATTATTATTTTTTTTTTCCGAGACAGAGTATCTCTATAGCTTTGGAACCTATCCTGGAACTATCTCTTGTAGACCAGGCTGGCTTCAAACTCACAGAGATCCGCCTACCTCTGCCTACCAAGTTCTGGGATTAAAGGCATGTGCCACCACCACTGCCCGGCTCTAACTAATTCTTATAACTTAAATTAACCCATTTCTTTTAATTTATGGGCTGCCATGTGCTCATGCTGTCTTCCAGCATGTTTTGCTCCCTCTGCATCTCCCGGCGACTCTGCCTCTCTTCTTCCAGTGTCTGGCTGTCCTGCCTATACCTCCTGTCTTGCTAATGACTGTTTAGCTTTTTATTAAACCAATAAGAAGATGCCTTGGTGAAGACAAATTTTCACAGTGTATAAAAAGGTTATTCCACAACACACGATGATTTCCATATGTATGCATATGCATACGTATATATGTGTGCTCAAACATAGATGTATGTGCAGGCACATGTGTGCCTTTGTCTCTATGTATTGATACATGTTTACATATTGATGTGTGTGTACACATATGTGCTTATACTTACACATTCACTTGTTTCAAATGTGTATATTTATACCTGTGTTTGCACACATATATTCTTGTCTGTTCATGCGCCTCTGCATGCTTATATGTACATATGCGTGCATTCATTTGAAAATGTGTATCTATGTACAATGTTTATAAGTATGCCCACATCTTTCTGTATGTATATGTCCGTGAATGTATCTGTGGGCCTGTGTATATTCTGTGTCCAATGCATAGGTATATTCATTTAAATGTGCCAATTTGTGAGTCTATGTGTACATAAGTACATAAATGTACATGTATATATGTGTGTTTATATGTGGATGTTTTGTGCACAAATGTGTGTGCCCTCTGTGTCTCTGAGGCCTATGTTTTATCTCAGGGGAGATGAAGGTGTAAGAGTGTAACATCTCTCAAAGTCTTTGTGCTTCAGGTGCACCAGTGCTGAACTCATCCAAAGAACACATTCTTCATCTTAATTACTTAAGACTATTAGGTGGTCACTCTGGGCAAAGAGAGATTCTATGTATCAAACAGAAATTCTAGAATAGGTACTATGTGGTCATCTTCCTGCAACTTTGTGGTTGTCACACTGAGCTGAAACATGTTTGTCTTGATAGCTAGGAATGAATTGAGATGAATGGAGCTGACAAAAGGTTTACAGAAAATGGAAACTAAACCTGGAGACATCTAGACAATTAGAAATCACACTACAGGTGAGAACGGTCTAAGTCCTGGTCTCTGGCCTCCATCTTTGGACGCCCTGTCCCTATGCCCGCCAAACCTTGGCCCCCTCTCCTGAGGAGGTGCCAGGTAGCCCGCCAAAACCTTGACCACTTCCCCAGTCTATTTAATCTGCTCCCTGGAAAGTCCTGGTGTGCTGGTGTGGTCGTGTGCACCTTTACTGGGTTGAGCTATCCATAGCTAACTCCTAAGTCTCTTGAATTTCAATGGACAGGACCTCACACGACACCTGCCTTCTCACCTTCCCCAAGGAACAGATGCCTGGCAT